CTCCCTGACTGGGCCATCTGGGGCAGGACAGGGGCAGTTTTATTTACTATAGGGTCTTTCCCCCTCGCCCTCCAGGGAGCTGAGCCCTGCCCACTTCTGGGCTTTGCCCTGGGGCTGAGTCCTCATTACCCACAGAACTGGGCTGAGACCAGCCATGTGTCCTTGAGCGGGCGCCTGCTGCCATAGCAACCCCCAGTAACACCCCAGCAGAGGGGAGCCCAGGCCGTGAGCCCCCACAGCCCTTTTAACCCCTTGTGCACCAGCTCCATGGCCCTGCTTTGACACCATTGCTCTGTGTGCCAGGTGCCATGACTGGATCTGTGGCATCCTGTAGAGCTGAGTTCCCTGGGGCGTTGGCAAAGCTGGGGGGGGACCCCTAAGACTTGGCAGTCGGAGTCATTTCTAGCTGTGAAATAGTGATGGCACCAACACACACACACACAGACAGATGCACAGACACACATAGGCCACTCCCGACACACACTTTCACATCCTCTTGCCCACTATTGCTGGTTGCTGAGGGATACATGTGAAACAGAGACGTTTCCTGCTGTGCCCATGGCACTGCCCTCCCATAACCCATGGGCGCCACAGCCTGTCCGCCTCCTGCATGGCGCCAGCTGATTGGGCGGCCAGTCGAAATAGGCTGGGGCGGGGGGGCAAGGCAGATAGGGAATCAGCATCTTCTTCACCCAACGGCAAAACACAGACAGACAGCGTGAAGGATGGGCTGGGTGGGGTCTGTTCCTCCTGACGGGGACCCTGGCCTGGAGGTTTCTCTCTGATCCAGTGCTCGCCCCCCAAGTTGGCACTTCTGCCCGGCGGGCTCCGTGCCACCCTGATGCTGATGCCAGGTTGATTTTCACTGGCAGCCGCTGCAGGGGGAACTTCTTGGGCCCCTTGGCACAGCACAGCACCTCCAAGGGACTCCCAGCCCCCCTGCTCCCTGCTGGGCTGCGTATCCCCTGAGACCAGCCTCTGCTCAGACAGACAGATGAACACTCATCTCCCACGGCAGAGTAATGCTGAGCAACTTCCCATGTGGGGGTGGGGGGAGACCCGGGTGTCTGTGTCAGCCCTGGTCAGTCTGGGGGGGAGGGGAAGGCAGGATGGGTGGGACGCAGACATGATGGAAGAATGAACTGGGGGAGGAGGGGGTGGAGGCAACGCCAGAGGGGTGAGGGATGACTGAAGCGAGGGGAGCCCCCGGGGCAGGGATGGGGGCAGTGGCTTTTTGAGGTGGTTTTGCCCCCAATTCTGGGTGAGCTCGTTCCCGCCCCTCCCGCTGGGGCAGCTGCTGCATGGGGGGGTCAATGGGGGAAGGGGTACAGCCCCCTCCCAATTGAATCGCTTTTCTAGTTCAATCCTCCCTCCCCCAAACAGGGGTCATCCCAGAGAGGATCCAGCTGTGACAGGAAAAGCCCTGCAGCTGGCAGCTTGCCCTGCAACTGAGCGTCCCCTGCCCCTCCTCCACCTGAGAGCCCCCTGTTGCCCCTCCCCTCTGCCACCTGAGAGCCCTATGCCCATCCCCCCTCTTGAGCCCCCTCCCCCACCTGAGAGCCCCCTGCTTCCTGCCCCTCCCCCACCTGAAAGCCCTGTGCCCCTCCCCCTTCCTGCTGCTGCCCCCTCCCAGCACACCCCTCACCGTTTGCCCTGCTGCTGTGCTATGGTTGGATGAGCCCCGAGAAACTGGGCCAAAAGGCTGATTCTGCTGCCAGGGGGTTCAAAACCTCGTCAGCTGTTCCCTGCTTGTGGCGAGGGCCCAGATTCTGCAGGGATCCCTGTGCCAGGCCCAGGCGGGGCCCCCAACATGTCCCCCCACAGAGGTGCTGGAACTAGGGGTGCTAGGGCTTGAAATGGTTTCCATCCTATACAGGATATACAGTTTGGTTCAATAGCTCTCAGCTCTCACACTGTACAAATTGTTCCAGTCCCCCCGTCCCCCCATCCATTATATCCCCCTGGCCGCCCCATGGCTATTTATGATGCAGTGGGGATGTGGGAATGGGTCATGCCCCTGTGTTGGCTGAGTGTGTGCCTGGGCATGTGCCTGGCTGGGGGAGGAGGGCTCAGCGCCAACAGAGGAGAAACAGATGGGCATGAGGCGGGGAGGGGGCACTACAGCTCCACCCCTCTCTTGACCTGGAGACCCTCATTGCACGGCCTCCCCTCCCCATGCCCACCAGACCACTCCCCAGCGGGGTCTGGGACTTGGCCTCTGCCCCAGCCACGTTCCCACCTGGGGCATGTACTGACCAGCCCCACCTTCCTAGCCTATAGTGCAGTGAGCACCCCCTGCCTGTCACTGCCAGACTGTTTTCATGGCACCTCCCTTGGTGCAGCTTGCCAAAGGGGCTGGCACCCTGATTTGTTAGTGCAGGGTTGCCTGTGTGCACTGGAGCCCTGCGTGCTGGTTTATTAGTGTAGGGTCGCCTGTGTGTACTGGGCCCTGCGTGCTGGTTTGTAAGTGTAGGATTGCCTGTGTGCACTGGGGTCCTGCGTGCTGGGTTGTTATTGTAGGGTTGCCTGTGTGCACGGAGTCCTGTGTGCTGGTTTGTTAGTGTAGGGTCGCTTGTGTGCACGGGGTCCTGCATGCTGGTTTGTTAGTGTAGGGTCTCCTGTGTGCACTGGGGTCCTGCGTGCTAGTTTGTTAGTGTAGGGTCGCTTGTGTGCACGGGGTCCTGCGTGCTGGTTTGTTAGTGTAGGGTTGCCTGTGTGCACTGGGGCCCTGCATGCTGGTTTGTTAGTGTAGGGTCTCCTGTGTGCATTGGGCCCTGCATGCTGGGTTGTTATTGTAGGGTTGCCTATGTGCACGGGGTCCTGCATGCTGGGTTGTTATTGTAGGGTTGCCTGTGGGGATTGGAGGTGTCAGGCTGTGTGCCTGTGCCATTTCCCTTCTTCTAACTCAGAACCGACTGGATTCCCCTGGAATTTCCCTGCAACCGACATCACCTCTGTGCTGTGAGTGGAGACATTCCAGCCCACTGGCTCTTCTGGGGGAGTCCAGAGGTGGGGCTCACCCGCCAGCCAGGAACTCATGGGGAAATGACTTCTAGCACAAGATTTCTGGCACTTCCTGTTTCCGAGGGGCCAGGAAATAGCACAAAAGCAGCTCTGCTGCGGGCACGGCTCAGCCCTGCTGCCTCTGCCTCCCCAGCTTGGTGGGACTTTGGGGACTGCCTGGAAAGCCTGGGGCGCCTGCTCTGGGTTGTGGGTGCAAGTCAGGGCAGCTTCCTGTAGCCCCAGAGTTTGGGCTCATTTTTTCACCCAGCCACCACCCCCGATCCCTCCCAGGGTCCTTTCCCTCCGTACCCCCTGGGACAGGCTGCCCTGCAGTAGGGGCTCACACTGGCCATCATGGGCCCCTGAGAAAGGAACTCCCTTCCCTTCAGCCCCAGGAGAGCTCTCCAGGTGCCTGCATTTGCTCCCTGTTCATGGCAACCAAGTGAGGCCAGGACAGGCTGCAGCTGCTGAATTCATCTGGACTGAGCTGGCATGAACAACCCTACAATAACACACCAGTGTGTGTACAAGTGACCCTGTGATAACACACCCATCTGTACAAAAACAATCCTGCAGTAACACACCTGTGCCTGTGCAAGTGGCCCAACAATAACACAACAGGAACTGACTCTTGGGTTCTTGTCCCAGTTATGGGAGAGGTGTGGGGTCCAGCAGGGTGGGCAGAACACCAAGACTCCTGGGTTCTGTTCCCAGCTCCTATTGCTGAGAATTTAAGCAATCACTGACATTAACTTTTGCATGTCCCCCCCTTTGTTCTCCTCCCTGGTTCACACCCTCCTTCACTGGCTGTGAGGGCTACTTGTTGCTTGTGCCAGCGGTGGAGCCCGGGGGGACAGGGGCTGGAGGGCTGGGCTCCCTGCCCCATACTGACTCAGGCTGGCTGGAGTGGGATGTCAGTGGAAAGCTAGTGGGTGGTGGAGGCCTGGCGAGCGCTAGCCTCAGGGCGTTTCTCACCCTGGCCTCCTGTACTGGGATATTGTGTGAGATTTCCAAGGCTTTTGCCTAAGCAAATGTTTTGCACATTGCAGGGTCACCTCTTTCCATGAGCTCAGCCGGGCCGGAGCCGCTAGGACGTGCCCCCAGTGGCCATTCCAGGGGGGCTGGCAAGTGGAGAGGCCACTGGGCTGGGAGCCAAGAGACCTGGCCTCTACCCTGCTTCTGATACGTGCAGTGGCGGGTGTGTACGTGGCCCCCACGCTGCAGCTGTCTCTGGGCATTGCCCCAAACCCGGCTGGGGCAGATCCTTAGCCCCAGGCTACAGCTGGGAACTGAGGCCCAGAGAAATGCAGTGGCCCGCCCAGCGCACACAGGAGGCTGTTGTTTGCAGTGTTGCTGTAGCGGGCTGGTCCCAGGATGAGAGACAGGGTGGGGCACGTAATAGCTTTTGTTGGACCCACTTCTGCTGAGGACAGAGGCCAGCCTTTGAGCTACCCAGAGCTCTGCCTCAGGTCCCAGGGAGGCTGCAGCAAAGCCGAGAAACGAGCCCCGCTCAGGGCCTCAGTTTCCCTGTTTGTACCATAGGATAATGACCCCAGGGGAGCCATCAGGGATAGAGTCAAAGGGCTTTTCCTCCTCTCTGCCTCCTGCCAGCCTCTTCCTGCCTTCTGCAAAGGGCCTTTCCAGGGAGCAGCCCTGGGAGGGGCCCAGCTAGCTGCAGAACCACCCCCAGACATACTTCCTAGGGACGCGGGGATCAGGTTCTTGCTCACTTGGGAGGGGGCTGCTGCTCCCCACAAGTGTGAGTTCCCCCTTTTGTTACTTGCACTTGCCTAGAAGCCCCCTATTGTTGAACTCAAGAGCCCAAAGCTGGGCCCGCCGCTCTGACCCTTCCCGGCCCATCGCTGGGGTCCCGGGCTTGCCCCCGGCCCGGCCCGTGCCAGCGGTGTCGTGTTCTCCAAAACCGCCCCATCTTTGCTCCGCGAGATCCACCCCGCAGGCAGGGGGTGGGCGCAGCCGCGGCTGGTGACTCCTCCCTTTGGGGGGGTGGAAACACCCTGCGGGCGCTTCCAGGAGGGGTCTCGGAGCCCTGCTCCCGCAAGGTCCTGCCTGCGCGTCGGGAGCGGGGCAGCCAGCGCGCCGGGCTCCGCCATGCCGCCCCCCGGGACCCTGCTGCCGCTGCTGCTGCTCGCCCTGCCGCCCGCCCGCGCCTTCAACCTGGACGTGGCCGAGCCGGCGCTGTTCCGCGGTGCCCCGGGCAGCCTCTTCGGCTTCGCCGTGGATTTCTACCTCCCGGAGCCCCAGAGGTGAGCGAGCGGCGGGGGCCGCGCTCCCCCCCCGGGCTTCGGAGTCTTGGCACCTTGTTGAAGAACAAATTGTATCAAAGGGTCGTTGGGGGCGGGGGGGCGTTCGCGGCCCCCTGTTAGCGCCGGGGCGGGGGAAGTGGGGGGGTTCGCGGCCCCCTGTGGGCTGGGGGGATCGCGGCCCCCTGTTAGCGCCGGGGCGGCTGGGAGTGGGGGGTTCGCGGCTCCTTGTGGGCGGGAGATATGGGGGGCGTTCGCGGCCCCCTGTTAGCACCAGGGCGGAGGGTGTGGGGGGTTCACGGCCCCCCGTGGGCGGGGATATGGAGCGGGTCACGGCCCCCTGTTGCCCCCGTGTGTGCCGGGCGGGGGGGGCGTTTGCTTCTAGCCCAGCTCTGACTTTCCGGGCTCTGCTCCCAGTCCCCCTGGCGGGACCCCGCCTCTTTCCGCCGGTCTGGGCACGCGGCTCCGGCGCTGTTTGCACCGTTACCCGTCCTGTCCGGTCCTGGCTCGCTCCTTGGAGCCCCGGCCGCGGCGCTCAGGTCCCCCCGAGCCCCCCGCCTGCATTCCTCGCGCTCCCGGGCCCGATCCTGTTCGCGGGATCCCCCCACGGGGAGGACGGGGAGGGCGCGCGTGGGGACCCGGGGCCGGGTGGGCGACGCTGCAGCCCGAGCCCCGCGCTCCGGTGGGATCCCCCGCCCCTCGGCCCCGCACAGAACAGGCTGGGAACGGAGCGTTTCCTGTAATCGGAGCTGGGGATCGGCTCCTTCCCTTGTAACTCGGAGCAGGCGGAATTCCAGCGCTGGCGGCGCTTTCTCCTGGCGGCGCAGGGACCGGTGTGTGTGGGGCTCCCTGGGAGAGGGCAGCTGGGGGGAACACCGCTGGGCTGGGGATGTTATTCGTGCCCCCCCCCCCCCGTGGCAGCCCCGAGTGGGGCATAGGAACTGCGAACACTGGGGGGGCTGGAGTCCCTGGCGAGCTGCTAACACGGAGCGATGGGGGGCTGGAGGTGGCGTCTCCCGGACCAGGGCTGAACCGCCCCTGCATTTCCCCATCCCCCTCCTGAGCAGGCCCGTGGTCCACGCCCATCAGGGTGGGGGCGAATCTGCCTCCCCCGAGGTCCTGCTGGGTTGCGTGCCGAGGAAGCAACCAAGGGCTGAATGTGCCAGGGATCGGGGCCCTCGGGCCAGTGAACGTGGCAGGGTTGAGGGCAGGACCCCTCCAGAGCTCAGCCGGCTCTGGTTCATGGTGCTGTGTCATCAGGGGCAGGGGGAAGTGGGTGACACTGGGTGTCTTGACACCTAGCCCTGTGGGGTGAGTCACAGCCGTGTTCCCAGGCTAAGGGTGTTAGGGTTTGTCTACACTGGCACTTTACGGCGCTGCAACTTTCTTGCTCAGGGGTGTGAAAAAACACCTCCCTGAGCACTGCAAGTTTCAGTGCTGGAACGTGCCCGTGTAGACAGTGCATCAGCGCTGGGAGCTACGCCCCTCATAGAGGTGTTTTTTTAGAGCGCTGGGAGACTACGCAAGTCACGTTAAAGCGCTGGTGCGGCAGCACTTTAACGTTGCCAGTGTAGACAAGCCCTTAGTCCGTTCTTCTCAATGCCAGTCAGCTCTGACTAGAACCCAGGAGTCCTGGCTCCCAACCCCGCCACTCAAACCACTAGACCTGTCCTCCTCCAGAGACAAGAATAGAACCCAGGAGTCCTGCTTCACAGCTCTGCTGCTTGAACCCCTAGACCCCACTCCCCTCCTAGAGCTGGGGAGAGAACCCAGGAGTCCTGGCTCCCAACCCCCCTGCTCTAATCTCCAGACCTGGGGAGAGAACCTGGGAGTCTCACGCCCCTGCTCTAATCTCCAGACCACACTCCCCTCCCAGAACTGGGGATAGAACCCAGGAGTCCTGATTCCGAACCCCACTAGGTCCCCCAGGGACACAGAATTCCCAGATGCTGCTCCTGGGAATCCCACTTATTAAAGCCCCTCTCTTCCCTGCCCTGGCGGCGCTGAGTGGGTGTGGAGCCTGGTGGCTCTGATCCAGTGGGGAGGGTGGAGTTGGGGAGAGCTGTGTCCCGTGGCCTGTGGCAAGCAGCCAGCCCAGGGAGCTTTCCCCTGGAGATGCCCCTCATGAGTGTGCTCTGTTCTATTCATGCTGTCCCTACTTGCTCTGACTCCAGGAGCTCCAAGCACTAGTCAGGCTGAGCTTGTTAAAGCCCCAGCATGGATGAGCCAAGGGGCAGCTGAGAGGGTAAAGCCCAAAGAGCAGCTGTTGCCATTTGATCCTATTGGCCTAACCACCCTGTTCTCCGCCCCCCCCCCCCAATCTATTGGCCAGGAAAGTGCCTCCAGCCCCTGGTATCACTGGGCTGATTGGCCTGAGCCACCATGTCCAGCCCTGCCCTGGTGGCTCATCCCCTGCAGCAGGGGCTGGAGGTGTAAGAGCCACTTCCCCTCTAGCGGGGTGTTAACCTTTTCAGCTGCCAAGCAAACTGCGATTACTGGGACGTGGTATGTTGGGACACCAGGCGCAGACCTCGGGGCGCTGTCGGGGCGAGTAGCAGTCTAGCCCCCATTATCTTCAGCCGAAATCCCTGCCCAGTGGCTGGCAGGTGTGCTGGCTATTGTGCTCTACCCCAGAGGTGGCTGCATTAGAATGGTGCTGGGTGGGTCCCTTTTGGGCCGTGTCCCAGCATTCTGCAATGAGAGAGCAGCCCCAGTGTGACCTGAATCTGCAGGCTGCTGTGCACCTAACTCCCTGTCTGCTCATGGGGTCAGAGAGAGAGGGCCCAACCCAACACCCTAGCTCTGAAACAGCCAACACTCAGGGACTAAAATCACACCCATCTCTGATCATTCCCAGATACGTGTGCTTGGCTCCTTAGGAGCACATGGTCTGGTAGCTAAAAGTACAGTGGACTGGGAGTCAGGACTTCTGGGTTTGTTTCTGGGTCTGGGTGGCGTGGGGTCTAGCGGGTAGGTTAGAGCAGGGGAGTTGGGAGTGGGGTCTAGTGGGTTAGAGCAGGGGGCTGGGACTCAGGACTCCTGGGTTTGTTTCTGGCTCGGGGGGGGAGGGTGTCTAGTGGGTTAGAGCAGGGGGTTCGGGTTCTGGCTCTGGGGAGCGGGGGAGTGGGATCTAGTGGGTAGGTTAGAACAGGGGGCCTGGGAGTCAGGATGCCAGGGTTCTGTCCCCAGCTCAGCTCCTAATTCACTGTGTAAATCATTCTTCTGGGCATCTGTTTTCCTCCTCCGTGCCGTGGGGCTATTGGTACTGACCGAGGTGGGGGGTGGCTGATTGTGAGGCTCAATTCCACCTCCTGGGTGATGCGCTTTGGGTGGCAAGCGTGTTGTCATCCTGAGGTCTAGTTTGTGGATTCCAGGGTTCTGTGGGGTTTTTTTGGGTGGGTCCCATGACCGGTGCCGCCAATTCTCCACCCCCTTCACGCGCAGTGCCACTGTTTCCCAACCCCCTTGCAGCCAAATCAGTGCATCCTGTAATGAAACCTCGCAAATGTCACTGATTTCCTTTCCTCGCTCAACACGTCATCTCTTTCCTGGCCCGGATATTCCTGGTCCCTCACGCAGCGCTGATCTGGGCACCGCCTGATACAGGGGAGGCAAAACTTCCACCTGGCTCGCTATTTTCCCCTCCTCCTATTGAAGGGGCTGGCAGAGGCTGCCCGTGGCACTGGGTCTGGGGGAGGGTGTGGGGCTGGAAGCGACTGGCACTGGGATGCTCGGTCCCGGGCACTGGTTTCCAGAGAGGGGGGATGTCTCTGGTAGCATTTCTGCTTCACAGCCCTGGGTAATTATCCCACTTAATAGAAGAGGAAAGTGAATATCAGAGCTGGGAAGGGACTCGCTCAGAGTTACACAGCAAGGCAGTGTCAGAGCTGGGAACAGAACCCATGAGTCCTGATTCCCAGTCCCGCCCTGCTCTAACTGTAGAGCTCGCTGCAGAAAGCAGCAGCCAGCTCTGTGAGTCCCCAGCAGCTCTGCAGGGGGAGGGTCTCTGCATGGCGATCCCAGGAGGAGGCCTTGTCGGGCTTGGCTGCAGCAGACATTAGTGCTCCTGACAGCAAGAAACAGATTAAACAAGGTTGGTCTGCTGGATTGAGTGTGGGGCTGGGAGGCAGAACTCCTGAATTCTATCCCCTGCTCTGCCAATGACCTCCTGTGTGACCCCACCCTGTGCCTCAGTTTCCCCATCTATTTCAGGGGGATAATGGTACTGCCCAGTGCAGTGACTCTGTGGCCTCCCAGCCTTGCTGTCCTTCCTGTGTTCCCTGCGGGGGGTGTGGCAGCAAGCTACACACCCTGCCCCCTTGGAATGGGGGGCATCAGCTGGCTATGCCGGGGGGCTAGCCCACAGCTCCCTGCTACAGAAAGGGGTGGCCCACTTAGCACAGGGTTAAATACACAACTGGAGCCATTAGCTTATTGCCCAAGAGCTCTGCCTGGCCATGGGCCAGTCCATGCCAGTCAGATTTCATAACCCATGTGACCATCCAGCCTGACCTGCACAGCACGAGCCGCAGGACTGCGCTGGGCTCGCTCCTGCGTGAGCTGGTCCAAACGATTTAAAATGGCCAGTGATGGAGAATCCACCACAACCCTCATTAAACTGCTCCGATGGCTAATGCCCCTCCCGATGACCCATTCACATCTTATTGCTGGTCTGAGCTGATCTGGCTTCAGTGCGTTAGACTTTCTCTGCTAGACTGCAGAGGCCGGGCCCGTCAGCCCTGAACCATCTCTTTGCTAAACTCACTACACTGAGCTCCCAGAGCCTCTCGCTCTCGGGCCCCAGAGGCACACCAGAGAGGGGCCCTTGTCCAGGCTCCCGGGGGGAGGGGGAGGCAGGGTCTGGGAACCCCCCAGGCAGGCAAGGCGGGTGCAGGTGATCTTCCAACCCAGAGCAGCCCAGCCCGGAGCTTAGCCAATCTCTGCTCTGGTGTTCGCACCCCCTCCCACGTGGGGAAGAGGGGGGCACTTCCTGACTGACCATA